AATCAAAGGCATCCAAATCGGCAAAGAAGAAGTCAAACTCTCACTCTTTGCAGATGATATGATACTTTATGTGGAAAACCCAAAAGACTCCTTCTTTGAAAAGACTACCTTCTTCTTCATTGAAGTCTAGGAATTCATTTTAGAGTAATGACTCAGAAATGTCTTTTCTTTTCTTTCTTACTTTCTTTTTTTTTTTTTTTGGACTGAAGATTTAATTTGGGTCTAAAACACAGGGTTCTACTGAAGGTAATAGATGATATTTATATAAAAAATCTCAATGCAAAAAGTAGGCTAAAACCTTTTAGTATAATTGTTGTTAGTGTAGCAGCAGTTAAGTGAGGGTTTACCACCATTAACATTATCATTTAAATTAAGAAAACTTTACTAGTGGGTGCCTGGATGGCTCAGTTCATTAAGCATCTGCCTTAGGCTCAGATAATGATCTCGGGGTCCTGGGATCAAGCCCTGAGTTGGGCTCCCTGCTCAGTGGGGAGTCTGCTTGTCTTTCTCCCACCCCCTGCTCATGCCCTCTCTCTGTCTCTCTTAAATAAATAAAATCTCAAAGAAAAAGAGAAAACTTCACTAGTTATTGACACTACAGTCAGCTATAATTATACATTTAGTGGGAAGTCATTAGATGAGTTTGAAGAAGTTCCTTACATGAATAATATTTTAGATAAGGGTGTTATTTAAGTATAACAATGATGTTTTTAACAAACCTAGTAATTCCCAAATCAAAATATTAGCTATATAGTATTAAAATGACTTTTTACATGACTTACACTACAACTTTGATTGTTATGAGCAACATTATAATGCATATATCATATTTATAGAATTACATGTATATATACACTTATGTGTATGTATGCATTTATGCATATATTTTTTATTAATCTATGTTAACGTGCTAGTTATTATTATTTTTTTCAATCTCATCCCTGCTTTCAGAACTACTCTGTATAGCACATGAATGTTACTGGAATTGAAAATTAAAATGAGAAGAGCAAGTTCTAAACAAGAAGAGAATATACCTGAATGTAATTCCTGTAGCAATGACAGAAATTAATTGACATCATGAAAAGAAAGGAAAAAGTCAGCATTGAAAAATTACCATATATATCTTCTCGTGGTGAGTTCTGTTAGCCTCTAGCTTAGCCTGAGGATTCTTTTCTGAGTCAGCTGGATGACATTGGACATATATTGCTCTGGGAAGTGATATAACCAGTGACTGTTCTTGGTGTTCTTCTCAAAGGTATTCTGGGGTGTGCATATGTGTGTGTGTGTGTGTGTGTGTGAGAGAGAGAGAGAGGGAGAGAGAGAGACATAGACAGAGACAAAAAGACAGAAACAGAGGGACAGAGACCATGATTATGTTTGTATTGATGTGTATGTGTGTGTCGGATGGTGGTTGCAGGGGATGCAGCACATGGTGCATATAGAGCAACATTATTCTCCTAACAGTTAACACTATTCTTAGGGTCTTTTTCCTCAGTTTGATAAAGGATTACTAATATCCAATGGATGATGATTTAAAGGATGAAGAGCTTCTTTCATTGCTGGCTCATTCCATCAGAGTATTGACATGTCAATACTCCATTAGAGTATTGACATGAAGGATTCTGCATTTTACTCATGGGGTAGGGTTTGTAAAATATGACTCTTTCAACCTAAAATCTTTTTGCTTCATCTCAGAAGAGAGACAAGATACAACCGTAGCACATTGAGCACTTACCTTAAAATCCTCATGAAGTTTTTCTACTTAGTGAGTCCCTTGTTTTCCCCAGTAATCTGTATTTTTTTAAAAATGTGGGTGAAAGAGGTGACATTTACTGAAATATTAGAGAGAATTCTTAGAGAAAGACATGAGTAGAGAGATGAATAGATATCATATTTGATGATAAGATACCATTTTGCATTTAATTGGGGGCTCTGTTCTTTTTGTTTGTTTTGAATATTTTCTATTAGTTCTCAGCAAAAAGAAAAATAAAGACTGAAAGAACAAAGTAAGATAACTCAAGTTCTGTCTATGGAAATGAAAACATAGGTACTCCTGGGGACTTGGGATGCCTCATGGTAGAGAAGGGAAAGGGGCAGAGAAAGTTACTGTTTTCCTCTCTCAGACTTAACATTGATAGTATTAAAGACATGAAGAAAGAAAAAATCTGGCAGCCAATAAATATAAAGATTTAATAAATTTGTATGAAATTTATGTAATTTAATCATTCAAGTAACTCTGAGATGTAGATACTGTTATACACCCCATTTTACAGGAGGAAATTACAATAGGAAGATACTATGTAATTTGCCCAAAGCTACATTGGCAAACACAGAATTTGAAAGCTCAGTTTGACACCTGAGCTTATTTTTTTAACTCTTAAGTTAACAATGAACTATTATTACTCAGATTTTCTTCCTCCTTTTATGAGGCAGCATTTCTCCAGCAGAGATGCTAAAACATTAGAAGTCATTACTCACTTTTACATCATTCTCATTTTATCAATCATCAGTCAATATTCAACTTAACTGCCATTTACCTGCCATTCTAAACATAGTCTCTCCTTCACTGTCCCTAAGAAGACTGCCTTTAGTAAAGCTATCATAACCTCTTACTTGGACTATCACACACTTTCTAAGACTACTATCTTCTCCTTGTGAATATTTATCTTCTATAAAGCTATCAGTATGATTTTTGTGAAAAGCCAAGTTGAACAGAATAGTCTTTCTTCAAAACATCAAAAACTTATGATGTACTGTATGTCGACTAACATAACATAATAAAATAAAACTAAAAAAAAGAAAATAAGTAGAAAAATAAAAATTAAAATAAAAAATAAATTTAAAAAAATCCCCAGTGCTTACCCCCTGTCTACAGAATAAAGGTCATCTTCCTTGGCTTGACATAGAGGTCTGCATGATTTCCATGAATTTCCTGTAAAGGCTCATCCCTTACTCTTTGTCTTATGCATTACAAATGACTTCTCAAACTTCATGCAGTTCACCATATAGTTATTTATTTCTCTTTGCACAGAAACCTGTCTATTTCATCTTGCTCAATTCTATCTATTTTTAAAAATGTATCGAGGAAGATTTCACTGACCATCAAGACCTTTCACTTCTAAAGGCTGCACTCTTTTTGTATATTCTATAGATGTCTTTTTCACTGGGTTTCCATGTGGCATTTTAGTTCTCTAGCCAGCTATTTTCTCCTCACCTGATTGTGAGCTAAAGTACAGAAATTATTTATACCTAGAGATTTTCATACACCAAAATGTATATCAAAATTCAATAAATATCAATTTGGTGAATTAATTCTAAGGCATATAGAACAAAAAATGAATCATCTTTATTTTTGTTTCATTTTCATTACAGTTTTCTTGTAAAGAATGAGGATTTTCAAGAATAATTTATGCCACAGAAAACTGTGAAATACATGCGTCACTCATTGAGCCTCTGAACAATTAAGAGTGACTCACACATCACCCTTAGGACTGTGTGTACTGCAGAGTATCTGATTCTCTCATGCAGCACTCAAAAAGATTTCTTCAGTAAACCTGATATTTTGTTCTGTCTTCTTATCAGATTTTGTTACTTCCACCAATTATATACATATTACAAAACACTTGTTACTGATTCAAGATAAACAATACATCCCAACATCATCCTCAGAGTTCCAGCAGCAAACTTGGAATATATTTTCCCTAAAATCGAAATACACAGCAATCATTATCTTTACCCAAATGAAGATGAAGTATGGAGAAAGCCATTCCACTCCAAAATCAACAGTCAGGTAAAATATCGTCCAAATGTATTCATCAGCTGTAAGTACATGGGATTCAAATAAACTTTCTAAATTAAATATTTCAAAATCATTGGATGTATTCTCTGCATTGATGCCTTCCCAAATTGTCATAATATCCAAGCCTTTCAGTTATATCACTGTTAAGATAGAATTAGATAAAAATATTTTTTTCGCCAGGATCTTTCTCAGAGCTTCTTTGACGTCTTTGTTTCTCAGAGAGTAAATCAAAGGATTCAACATGGGAGTGACTAAGGTGTAACATAAGGAAGCCACTTTACTCAGCTCAGGAAATCTGTCAGGGATGAAATACATAAAAATGATGGCACCATACAGTACACTCACGACTCCTAGGTGAGAGCTGCAAGTGGAGAAGGCTTTCTTACGTCCCTCAGTGGATCTTATCTTTAGAACTGTGGACACAATATACATATAGGACACAATAATGACAATTATGGTAGGCAAAATAATAATGCTGCATAAGAAAAAGGAAACCATCTTATGAAAGTAGAGATCAGAGCAAGAAATCCTTTGAAGTGGACGGTCATCACAGTAAAAGTGGTCGATGGCTCGGGAAGCACAAAAGGACAAAGTAAATGTCATGCTCGTCTGAAGAACTGAGCTGATGCAACCACAAAAATAGGAACCAGCCACCAACTGACCGCAGAGACGAGTTGACATATGGACAGAGTAGAGGAGTGGGTTGCAGATGGCAATGAAGCGGTCATAAGCCATGGCTGCCAAGAGAAATCCCTCAGCCACAATGAACAAGGCAAAGAGAAAGAGCTGGGTCACACAGCTTGCAAAGGAGATGGACTTGCTCCCAGACCAGAAGTTGATCATAGCCTTGGGTGCAATAACAGAAGAATAGAAGAGATCAATGAAGGAGAGGTTGCCTAGGAAGAAATACATTGGTGTGTTCAGCTGCGGATCAGTCATAATAATGGTCATCATCCCAACATTCCCTAGAAGGATCATGGCATACACAAGCAGAAAGAGCAGAAAGAGGAGAATGTGCAGCTCTGGGCGGACCCTGAAGCCTACAAGAATGAAGTCAGTCACTTCTGAGTGATTGCTTGTCCCCCTCTCACCCATGGCAGAAACCTGCTGAAAGGCACAAGGCAAAATAAACAAATGCAATCCAGGCTTTGTTCCTAGTGACATTAATTGTTTCTTAAATGTAGAATAAATTATTTACATCTTAATTAAATATTGCATATAAAATAATTCCAATGTCATGAAGAATCAAGAATTTGCATAGATAATACTAGACTTATGAAACTGATATTCAGTTATTAATCAGTCAAAGAAATTTCTGGGTTATTGTATTTAAATCATAATTTTGTTGACAGTTCAGCCAGTAAGTAGCATTTAATATTGTCTAATTTTAATCACATTTGAAATTTCTATTTTTAATATTTTTGTAGTTAAGGAATTTTCATTATCTAAAATAGTGTTACGAGAATTTAAAATAGAGATGTTACATGTAATCTCTATGACATTATTTATAGCCTATGATAGTCCAGTGTTAGAATCATTACATGACAATAATAAATATATTTTAAAATGTTGTTACCTTATTTACTTCAGTTTCTTTAGTTTTCATTATTACTGTATCCATCTTTGAAAATAGAATAAAAATAAATGTTATTTGTATGTTAAAATTAATAAAATTTAAAAACCACTTATATTATATTACATAAAATGCTCTAAAGCTCTTTCTAAATAAATGGTCATTTCCTCAGATCAAGCCCATCCCCCCAAATAAGGCATTTTTATTGCCTCATTATAAATATTTTACTTCCACTAGTAGTTGTTTAATTAAAATATTCCATAATCAGTTAGCTCTTTTTCTGAGGCAGGGGGAAGCTGATGAACATTCTAGTTCTTACATTGCAATAATGACTTTCTAGCAAAGTTGCATCAATTCATGGGATCTTGCTCTTTAGTCAGGGCAAGTATATTTAAGGAATGTATATAAAGGAAAGTTCCTTTTGTAAATTCTAGTAGGCTTTATATGTCTTAAAATAAGGCTAATGAGATAACCATGGGTATTAAAGGACCTTAGTAACTCTGTCATCTAGGGTCCATCATCATTTGTTTGACTATCAACAGTGGTTGTTTATGATGGTCTTACTTATTTTTAGTCCTGTGAAATCTTTCTTCAGGATATTTCAGTGTTAAGGTTTTGCTCATCATCTGATTGATTCCCTTGGGAGAGAAGTAATCTTAAAATCAATTATGGAGACATAAGTATAGGCTCCAGGGCTGTTGTCCATGAGGACTGCAGTAACCTCAGATACAAACAAATAATCTAATAATAGTCCAAGTACAAGGAACTTTTCCTTTTTATTGTATGTATCCTTTGGGAAATTTCTTTGGACTTAATTTTTTTCATCGACAAAGAAAAACTTTCTGGTAATTGTCATAGCATATATATTGGTAGGCACAGAGAAACAGATTTAAAAGTTTGTACTATATGAGAAAAGTGCTGGATAAGTGAATATTTTTAATTATATAGTAAATTACATTTATTATAATTCAGAAAAGACAATAATTAACTCCAACTTATGGTTTACCTGTATTTCTTGATGTAGACATAGTTCATGATATGATAAATATCCTGTAAATCACAATCTCAAAGTCAGATAATGTTTTGTGATTTCTCTGCTTTCCTATATTCAAATACTAAACAATTAGAAAATAAAAGAAATAATAGCATTCAATAAAATTATTTTAAAATTCCTTAGTGAGATATTTTAAAATGCATTAACTATTTTGTGATGAAAAGACTACATTAAAACCATAGACATAATACTCTACTTAATGAGCTTAATATTTTGAGGATGCCCAGTTTTTGTCCTAAATATTTCCATAAATTAATTGTAATCCTACTTTTTAAATTCCCTTTTAATTAAAAATTATTTCTAGAATTTATCTAGAATTTTTCAGCATATGGAATACAAAATGATGTAGGGCAAGACCTCATTATAATACAGTATAGTAAAAGTTTGGTCATTGTAGGAAGAATAAACAGGTTAGTTACTTTAAACAGGAAAATATCAATTAAGATGAATTGAAGCCTATCAATTTGGAAAGGCTGGAGGAATTTCTGAGTGACACTCTTTTTCTTAAGATTTATTTATTTTAGAGAGAGAGAGAGTGCACGTGTGCAGGTATGTGTGAGCAGGGGGAGGGGCAGAGGGCAAGGGAGAGAACTTCAAGCAGATACTCCCTGCTGAGTCCTGGCATAGCTTGATCTCAGGAACCAAGATCAAGACCTGAGCCAAAATCAGGAGTCGGTCGCTTAACTGATAGAGCCACCCAGGTTCTCTTGGGTGACTCTCTTAAAATGACCCTTAGGGCAATTTAGGATTAACTTCACAGAGAGAGGCTCCCATTGGAGATACAATTTAAAAATACAACACCTTAACTATGATGCAGGGGTCAGATACAAGGAAGCAAAAAGATGTCACTATTTCCTCATCCATCAAAATTGCTTCTCTAGGAAGTTGGGGATTCAACAATGCTGCACAGAAAAGCCCACATGTTTCTACAACTTGTCTACTGGTAGAAAAAACGTCAAAATGAACAGAAAATCAATCCCCAAGTCATTGTTCCATTCTAAATTCAGAGTTTGTGTAGATCTAATTGGTAAGACAAAATCTGGGTCGAGAACCCTTGTGGCAGGATACATTTGGTGAACTTTCCAAACTCTCCATCTAGAAAGCACATGACATAGAGCTTGAATATCTAATCTGTAAAATATACGAGAATCTAATATACTATTTTTATCCTTAAGCGACCCACAATAGCATTAGTAATAATGACATGCTATTTTTTACAAATACATAAGAGCCACTTAGTGTCATTCACAATAGATGGGACATAAACCCTCAACAAATTCACTGATCGAAATCATTCAGTGTATGCTCTTAATCATAGTCAACTTAATATAGAAATCAAATGGATTTTTAGTGTTTGTTTCTAATGTCCATGCCCATAAAGTTTTCTAGTTATCTATCAAATTAAATTTTTATGTAGTTTGAACTAAATTATAATGAATTATGATATATCTAACTTTCATAAGAAAAAGTAGTACTTGGAGGGATATATAAAGCCTTACTTGTAAATATGAAGAAAGGTAGGGACATCTACATCTTAATAATAATAATCTTCTTAATGTGAAATCGAAAACAAGTCAAAACAAAACAAAAAAAGAAAATAAATAATATAGATAAAATTACTTAGAAAAAATATGTATGATATAGGCTATTCACATGACTTTAACATAGATTCTTTGAATAATTAGTAGTGTGTATAAAATCCTAGCCAATTTAATAAGGGAAAAGAGCAACATTAAATCACAAGGATCGAGGCACCTGGATGGCTCAGTCCGTTAAGTGTCTGCCTTTGGCTCAGGTCATGATCCCAGGGTCCTGGGATTGAGCCCCACGTCAGGCTCCCTGCTCAGTGGAGAACCTGCTTCTCCCTCTTCCTCTGCCTGCGGCTCTGCCTACTTGTGCTCTCTCTGTCAAATAAATAAATAAAATCTTTAAAAAAAAAATCACAAGGATCAGGAATGAAAAGGGGATGGCGCTACAGATTCTTCTAATATTAAGAAAAAGAAAACATTTTTAGAAAAAATTGATGATTTTTAAATAAAAATATTTTAAATAGAAGAAAATTATGTGTAAAAGATAAATATGAATTTTAAAATATCTATTAAAGAAACTGAATCTTTATTAATGATATTCCTATGAAGAATAAATGATTTCACCAGTGTTTACCTGCAAACATTTAAGAAAGAAATAAGATCATTTTTACATAAACTCTGTCAGAAATAGTCATAAAGGAAATATTCTCCTACTATATTTATGAGTCTCTCATAAGTGTCATATGGACATTAAACTAAAAAATTACAGACAAATCTTACTCATAAAATTAACTTCAAAAGTTCTAAATAAATAATAAATAAATATGCTTCAATAATAAATAAATAAAATGCTTCAATAAAAAAGAGAAGTGTATGTTTATACTGCAAATGCTAAGGTAATTCAATAAATTTTAAAAAATGGATTTAAGATATTTTCCACACCTAATTGTGAAAGAATGGCTACCATAGATTTGTCTTCCATCACAAAACAATTAACTCTGGAGAAAATATATGAACCAAATATTTTTAGAGATTGTATAATAAGTGGTGAATGACTGTAATTCCTGAGAAAAGGAAACAAATCAGGAGGAAAAGATTTTAAACTTGAATACATAGCAATAGAAACAAACCAAACCTAAGATTGAATTAAAAAGGAAAAATAATGAACAGGTATTCAGGGACAACTGAGAAAATATTACCCATGGAACTGGAAGAAGAGGGACCAGAAAAATATTGTAAACTATAATGGGCAAAATTTTTTCTTATTTGATGACAAATCTAGCCACACAGATGCAAGAAAATGGGCAAAATCCCAAGCAGGATAGACAGAGAGAAAAACCAAATGAAGCACATAATAAAATTCTGAAGATGAGAGAAAAAGGGACATTGTCAAAGTAGCAAGAGGGGGAAAGAGACATTACACACAAGTGAATCAAAGTTAAAGCATACACTTGTCAGAAACAATTCAAGCCAGAGACAATGGAACATCTTTAAAGTGCTTAAAGATGGGAGGAGGGGAGACCAAATCAACATGCATGAGCAGGGAACAGGCTTCAGAATTGAAGGCAAAATAAGGAACTTTTCAGATAAAGGAAAACTAAGAGAATGCCTTATACCAAATTTGTGCCATAAGAAATACCAAAGAAAGTTGTCCTAGCAAAAGGGAAATATCATCAGGAAAACTAGGAAGGATCTCTAGGATCCTGGAGATGCTGTTTTCCCACTAATAGCAGTACTAGGATGTGTGAGGAGAGGGAATTTCTTTCTCTTTCAGTATGCTCCTTGGGGGTTTCTCTTTTTGGTTCTAGCACAGCTGGCCAAACCGCACCATGTTTCTCACTCTTGAAGCAATTCCTGGGCTTCTGGGATCTTTTACACCACCTCTTCTCATGCTTTGAAATCAGAGATGCAGGTATGGCTGCCTGCTCTGGCCAGTCTCTGTGTTATTTCAAAATCCCCCTTTTTCCTCCAACTCTTCAACTGACTGTTTAGATTATTCTCT